AATGAGAAAGGTTTAAGCCCATGTCTAAAGCATAGCACCACAGACACTTGTTTGGGAGGGTGTTTTGTAAAAATAAGTGCAACAGTGATCAAATGCTTGCTTTGAGTAGTCACGGAACAGACCTTAGGGGCTAGTAGCACAGTGAAAAGGTTCTCTCCTGAAGACATCATCATCATCATCAACAACATCATTATTTTATTTGTACTTTAAATGTGCTTTAATACATGGTGTGTACACAGCCTTAGTTGTTTCAAGTGCACTTCGTTCTTTTAAGCGGGAGGGTGCTGGTTCAAGTGCCTTATTGATTTGTTACCTATCCATTGTTGGCAATTTGTGTGTGTTATTCGCGCAGCAGTACATTGGGCTCTTCTCCTTTCCACTTAAATGTACTGATCTGTTCAGTCTCCCTGCATAAACATCTAAAATAAAGATGAATCGTTACTGTCAATCATGCCTCTCTTATGCACTGTCATCCTAAAAATGAATGAGTGGAGTGGTTCTCTTCCTGGAGATATTTGGTGTGTCCGCTTCTCTGGAGCAGCAGAAAACAGCCTTTCTCCCTCCTCTATGTGACATCCTTTTATATATTTGAACATGGCTATCATATCACCCCTTAACCTCCTCTTCTCCAGGCTAAACATGCCCAGCTCCCTTAGCCGTTCCTCATAAGGCATCATTTCCAGGCCTTTGACCATTTTGGTTGCCCTCCTCTGGACACGTTCCAGTTTGGAAGACAAGCAAGTGCTGAGCTCTCATAGATGAAAATACAGTGGTAAGGAATCTATTCCCTCATTAATTCTTCTGAGAATGATTGATTATGCAACATTCAGATCTTGCGGGTTTCTTTAATGTTTCATTCAGCGAGAAGCAAGGAGGTCACCACAGTTATTTCCTACTTTGAAACTGAAACTACCACTTCGTCTTTTATGATTATTTTTTTAAATGTATATAATGCATTGGAAAGATTGCATATGGGTACATTTTTTTTATTTATTTCTTTCCACATTGCTATATAGATTTGTAAGGTATGGTGTTCGTGGGTCTGATTTTCTCAGTATTGGAACCATAGAGAAACAGTGGTACCTCGGGTTACATACGCTTCAGGTTACATACGCTTCAGGTTACACACTCTGCTAACCCAGAAATATTGCTTCAGGTTAAGAACTTTGCTTCAGGATGAGAACAGAAATCGTGCTCCAGCGGTGCAGCAGCAGGAGGAGGCCCCATTAGCTAAAGTGGTGCTTCAGGTTAAGAACAGTTTCAGGTTAAGAACGGATCTCCGGAATGAATTAAGTACTTAACCTGAGGTACCACTGTATAAGCTGTACACAAGACCCTTTCCAGCCATGATATAAAGGTTTTTATATTTGCAGTACCAGTTAAAGCCCTACTTATTTATCCAGGCCTTTGGCTGTGCCTTATTGGTAGTGCATCTGCTTTTCATGAAGAAAATCTCAGGTTCAATCCCTGACAGTTCTAGGTAGGCAGGGGAATGTTCCTTATCTGAAACCTTGGAGACCTGCTGCCAGTCAGTGTAGGTCGTACTGCACAAGATGGACCAAGGGTCTAACTCAGTAGAAGGCATCTCCTTATGGTCCATCTATTCAACCAGTGATCTCTTTAACCACTGAGAACCAGGATATTTGCATGGCCACTCCCTTCATCTGCATATTTCCATCTGAGGTTCTGTTTCTTGCTCACTAGATGTCACATTTTCTTCTCTGTTCATTTTGTACATAGAAGAGGGATTCTGCCACTGTCTCCACTTGCAGAGCCAAAGCTGCATGGGTGTTCCAAATACTCAAGAGCATTGTACGATTGAGGTTCATGTTCTAGCGGAATTCCAGCAGAGAACTTATGGAAGAGGAGGTTGGAAGGGAGCTTAGACTGGGGCTGGATCTTGGGAGAATAGAAAGGATCATTGGGCACTGCCTTTTATATGTGCAGATTGCTTGCAGGAGAGGGAAGTCAGTTTGCACCTTGTGTGAGAATTGTGATTAATATATCTTGTGGACTTGTGGCAAGGCAACGGATTTCTGGGAAATGATTTATAATGAACTGAAAAAGATGCTTAAATTGACCAACCCCCCACCCCAACCCAAAGCATTTTTGTTGGGGATAATAGGGACGGAAATTCCCCAAAAGCTGTCTAACCTTTTTATGTATGCAGCAACTGCAGCAAGAACTTTATATGCACAGAAATGGAAAGACAAAGAGACTCCAACTAAGGAAGATTGGCTTATAAAACTGGTGAACTTTGCAGAAATGGTGAAACTGACTGCTAAAATAAGAGGACAAAATGATTGTACTGTCATAGAAGAATGGAGGCCATTGGAGGACTATCTATTGAATTATCATTCTTATATGAAATCACGTGCAGGATTTGAAATATGAGCAATGGAAGAATGTGGAGAATGGATTTGGGGGGCTTAGAAAATAAATGTAGATGTGTTTTAGTGCAACTATTAAGTGGAATATAAAAAAAACGGGAGGAGGGATGGGAAGTCAAGAAGAAAATATGTAACAAAAAAGATATATATGATTGGAGTTATGTAATAATTTGGAAGATTTAATAACAATAATTATAAAATGAGAGAGAATTGTGATAAAAATTGCTAGAAGCGTTTGCCAAATTTATTTTGCATGAAATGCCACTGATGTCTAAACTTGTTTAAGTGAAACAGCCAAGTTCGGTTCTTTGTAGAAAAGGAGCACACTGAAGTTTAAAACAACCAGAGACCCTCAGAGCAGTGTCCTAGCTGTCAGAAGCAAGCTGGGAAAGTTGCAAAATGCATGGCACAGCAAATCAATCCTGTTAAATCTTCCAGCGGCATTAATATCACTTCCAAAGCAAAGGTTCAATTTCAACACTTCACAGTAATATATGGTCTTTAAAAGGAAAACTTTCTGGCAAGTCAGGAATGGATTAATCACGCTTTTGATACTAACCATTCCAAAATTCAGGACTCTACTAAATGTGGATATAAGGACTTGAGCATCAGGCAGCCGACTTTTGAATATCAGCAGATGTCAGACATGGAGAGAAGCTTCAAAAACGTATTTCCAAACATACAGGTGCTTATCACCTATGGCCAAACACAGCTAGAGGAACATTTAAAAACAAAATCTCCAGCACAACTGCATTCAGAGTTCATCAAACGTGCCATTATCTTCCCTGACTCACACTCAGATGCTAAATCAGAAATGAGGGACCTTCTTTCAGCCAGAGGACTATATTCTGTCCTGGTCAACAACCCAAGGACCACTTGCTAGTGCTGGGTGGGGACAGAAGCAAAACTGGGTGCCAAGTCAGGCTTATATTATGAACACTGAGAACTGTGATGTGATGAAGCAGCAGCACAACCTCTGCAGTGCAAATTGGTTGCTCTCAGATCATTGAATTATTTCCATATGTACCGAACCCACAGTTGTGCTTCTGCATTTGGGCAAGATACACATGGAGGTCCTTTCCTTAAGCTGAAAATTAGCAGAAGCTACCAATGGGCTTTGAGCAGTAAGGTGCAACAAGGAGCTTCTGCCAGCAGTATATGTGAGGTCTTAGCGGACCACGAGCTTAACATGAGTCAACAGTGTGATGCAGCGGCAGTTTCAAAATAGAGCTAATGCTATTCTAGGCTGCATCAACAGAAGTCTGCGCAGCTCTCAGAAACAGAAACCCAAAGATGTTGCCAGTTTGACTGTTCGATGATCAGCCCTCAAGAGAATGAATTCCCTATGAGTGTCTATGCAATGGAGCCCGGTTTTATAAAATTCCTCTCACTAGCTACATCTCAGGAAGATAAGCCAGGCCTTCTGTCTAGATCCTAAAGCACAAAAAACAGGAGTCCATAGAACCAGCCAAGCCTAGGCTATGCAATCAACAGCTGTGCATGATGCAAGTATTGCAGGGCTGTACCACTTCAGACAGCAGGTAGGGAATCAAACATATACCAGTGCAAAACCCCTGAGCAGAGAAAGCAAAGCCTTGATTTCCCCTGTTTTGTGCTCCTCTTGAATTCCCATTGAACTAGAACATTAAAAAATTAGGTTCCTATCATTTTTGCTATTATTAGTTCTTAATTTGTATGCTGCTGTTTTGAGTGTGTGATTTAGTTTAAGTTGGAGATTGTATTATTTATTTATTTTATTGTTCTGTTATTGATTTGTTAGCTGCCTTAGTTTGCTTGGAAATATTGATGGGATAGATGAAAACCAAAAAAGCCCAAACCAAATGCATAAGCGTGAAACAGTGAGCACCTGATAACAAGTAGTGTTAATTTATTACTGTTAATCTTGGGAACTCAGTAATAAACAATGGTCCATCTCTGAAAACTATCTACTACCAGTTCTTCAAATAAACTAGCTCTTTTTTTAAATGAAGTTCACTGTTTTGCACTTTAGCACAACATCTTGAATGCCAAAAGAAAAAAAGTAAATAGGATAAATGGATGAAACTGAATTGAACTGTAAACTGAACTAGTTCAATTTCTAAATGGATGTACATGAACAGGAATTAGTTCATTTTTATAATTAACATTCTAAGCTATGCCTACTACTGAAGGGGAGGGATGCAGTTCCTCTTGAATAAATAGTTTTGTGTTTTATGGCTCTAATTGTCATGCATATATAATTTCTGACAAGCCAATTAGTCATTTCAAGTTTTGGAATTACTAGCAATGCACAAATGAAATCAGTATGGATTTTTCTCCCCTTAGGCGTAATAATGCATTGAACGGGGAAGTACATTTACTAAGATAGACGTCATTTCAGGAGGACACTTTTTTTTTACAGTAAAGATAACTGTATCCCTTTTTTCTGTTCCAGAGTTTGGAACAAGTAAATTAGATCACTAAAATGAAGTCTAATCATCAGCACAACTTTAAAACAATTTGAGGTTCTTTGAACCTTCAGACAGAATCCAATAAGGCATTTGAAGAAGGAAATCAATAAGAAGTCTTAAAGGTTCTCTCCCTCTCCTTTTCTCTTTTTTTGTCACACAGACGGCAAGTTTTCTCTCTGAAGCCCTTTTCCCTCTACATTCAACAATATCCAACGAACTAGTGTCTTCCTTCAGCCTACATGAATCCATCGCAAAGGTAGAGGAAATTTAAGATGTCTCGCTCAGTAATACAAGCATTCCTTTCATGTTAACCAATTATGAATGAATCAATTTCTGTTTCAAAGGTGTTTCAAAAATATTTGTATATGCCAGACTGGCTGGTTATTTAACTGCATTAGAGTGCATTTCACATTCTCAGTATTCAGAATACGAAAGCTTCACAATCTGTTTATATTTAAAATATTTGGGCCTCACTGACATACTGATTGTCCCACGGTTTGCTTTGGTGGTGTTGTTGTTTTAAAAAAATATTCCAGTACTTCCACAATAGATCACAACTTGAAATTTGGTATACACAGAGATATTCTATGGTGTTCATCATGCTGACTAAAGATGATGTTAGGTTCTGTTTGTCTTGGTAGACAATCCTGTATTCTTGGTAGAGTATTTTCAAGTTTTTCCATCTCCAGGTTTTCCCTTTTAACCTCTTCTTCCTTCACCAAAAACCTCTTATCTCCTACAAGAATATAGAAATGTACTACACATATTTGATTCAGAAACTTCTTATGAACGTACTCAATTTCTTACAGTTTAATATCCCCTTCCTTCCATCATGGAACCCAAGGTGCTATAACTGTGGTTCCCATTCACTGACCAGAACCAAACCTGCTTATCTGTGCCTTCAGGTCATAGGATGGTATACCAAGGATGGGGACCTTGTGGAACACCAGATGTTGCTGGACCACAGCTCCCATCATCCCTGGCCTTGAACCATGTTGAATGGAGCTGATGTGAGTTGGAGTCCAACAACATCTGGAAAGCCACAGGTTTCCCCAATTTCTTATACCTTCTAAAGAACAATAACCCAACAAAGAAGGCAGGCTCCTTTCTTCTCATCTCTGAAGCCCTTTTTATTGACCAAAGCAGCTGCTGTGGGCACATTTCCATCAGAGAGGAGGAAAAGGAAAACCATGGAGATTGTTCGTTTGTGGATCTAGCAGGCAGACCTGGAAACTGCTGTGCGAAGGCTGCCACTATATAGGGAAGAGTAGAGAGAAGACTTCTTGTCATGGCCTGTTGGAGTTTTTATGAAGCCTTAAACTGGGAATGCTGCGGATTAAAGAACATTTGTTGTGCAGGATTCCCCTTTCGCCTTTCTTGGCAAGAAAGACAGCTGCTTTGACACACGTCCTTGACACTAAAAGGATTTCAAAGGGGATCCCTGTCACTCCATCCTTGGACCCTGAGGTCTGGAGAATGAACAATTCATCAATCCTGTTTACAGGAAGAATTACAGTCACCGTTAAATCATCTGCATTTGAACAGTCCCTGTGGTATGTGCTGGAACGATTAGCAGTGACAGAAGTGCTTTTGGATAGGGAGATGGCAGTTTCTTTGAGATAATTATCACATGAAATTTCAATGCGGTGGCAAGGAAACTAATTTGTAACCTCTTTCTCAAACACCTCCATTGGCCTCCACCCACCTCAGTTGAGCAGGATGACAACTCTCACATTTAGCTATATGAACTCCAGCACTGATGTATTAGGTAATTATAGATGCTGGACTTAATGATCTAATGGGTAACAGTCTTAGCTGGTACAGTGGTACCTCGGGTTACGAACACTTCAGGTTACAGACGCTTCAGGTTACAGACTCCGCTAACCCAGAAATAGTACCTCGGGTTAAGAACTTTGCTTCAGGATGAGAACAGAAATCGTGCAGCGGCGGCGCGGCAGCAGCAGGAGGCCCCATTAGCTAAAGTAGTGCTTCAGGTTAAGAATAGTTTCAGGTTAAGAACAGACCTCCGGAACGAATTAAGTACTTAACCCGAGGTACCACTGTAATGCATTTCATTTCACCAACTTGAAATGGTCCCCTATCGAAATGGCAATCGTATTACTTCGTTTGCACCAAAATGTGGTAAGCTGACCCTCCAATGTTTGAGGTTCCTCCTGCTCATTCTGTTAAGTGGGGCCCTAGACTTCTGCCCCCAAATTCTACTGGACTCCAGAGTCCATCCCCCTCAGGTAAGATTTGAGCCAGGGCCAAGATGAACCTCCAGAGAAGGAAGGGCTAAAAACGTCAGCTGCCTCTGCCTGAATATGGCTTAGCTTGACTAGAATTGGAGCTCAGCAAGGAAGCCTTGGTTAAATGTTTGGGGTCTCTTGCCCCCACCTCCACAAATCTCTGACAGCTCCAACCTTCCTTGTGGGAAAATGCCTTACATTTAGACAGAAGGAGCAGGTCACAGGTCACAGAGAGCTCCCTTTGAAGGTATCCTCAGCTGCAAATAAGGATAATGTTTGTATTCTCATTTCCAGCTGGGGGTTATGGGGTCTGTAACCTATGATTCCACATAGGAAATGTCATTCAGCAGCCTGTTGTTCCATCCTACCCTCTCTCTCTCTCTCTCTCTCTCTCGTTTAGGAAAGCAGAGCAAAGAAGGGAGTAAACAGGAACAAAGGATTAATTTGGGGTTTTTTCAAGTGTTCAGATCAGATACTTTTGGGGGGGTGGCTATGAGGTGGGATTTTTTTTCTAGTACTTGACTGGAAGCCCCCAAAACATTTGTCACTGTAAAAAGGGTGGGTTTCTGTGCATGTCCAGTTTCAATCCAGTTTCAATCCAAACAAATCCAGGACAATTCCTGAAATGGACTGCTTGGCCCTGAGAATTATTTTATGGCTTTTAATAGGTAGGCACACTCTGAGAAATACTTTTCCTCTTTCCAGATTTCAGTTAATACCATCCACTGTGCAATGACAGGGAAATTAGGGATTTGCCACACAGTTCATTTTTGTGTCAGAGAGTACAGGACTCGAATTCTTTTAGTGAGTTGTTGGAGGAATATGTAACAAATATAGAAAGAAGATAGAATATGTGAATGATGATGATGATGGGCAAGAAGTGGCTACATTAATATGAACCCTTGGCAAAGCAAGACAAATATGCATGTGTGCTTGACACTTTTTCTGGGGTGTGAATTCATAATTTTGAACTTGTAATTGCATACAGTTTATCTTGTTGCGTGGACGTTTTAATTTATTAAACACATTTATGTAGACCTGTTGTGGCTTTTGGCAGGACCAAATGCATTTGAAGTGAACTCTCTGTAAAGTAAAACGAGTGTGGTGTTATCCCAGCAGGCCTAAGGGCCTTGGGTTGCTCTGGGAAAGTGCCAGATTCACTGAAACCCTGCATAATTGGGGTTCTAAAAAAAGTTTATGGGTGCGGAAGTTCCTCCACTTCAGAACGTGACCTCCCATGAGTCAGAATGTGGCAGAAAGGGTGATGTAGCAGGTCAGAGCTAGAAAACTCACCCCTGGCATCCTCTTGTGTGTTTACTTTAATGTCTGGAGAGGGTCTGATTACTCAAGATCAAGACTGATTTACAGCAGACCCTGAACCACTCCGTACAACCAGTGCTTTCCCCCCAAAAAAGTGTTTAGGGGTACTCTCCTTTCCCTACTCGTATTCAAATACTGCCCCTCAATGAGGCCAAAATTAAATTCACAAAATGTTTAGGGGTATGCATACCCCTGCGCGCGCCCCCCCCCAAAACAAGCACTGTGTACGACTAAACTCCTGAGCTTTGGGAGAGCAGGGAATCCGCGATTGCCGAGCTTGTGTGGCCTAAGGTGAAGCTTAGGTAGTCAGTTCATATATATTTCCTGTCACTTCTTTTCCCTGCTCATGTGAATGTAGGCAGGGCTATTGTGTGGCAAGTTCCCGCCTCCCCCCAGTGGAAATAAAAACACATGACACAGTTATTTAAGGCTGATGGGCTAAATATGGCCACAACTTTATTGGTTACAGGTGATAAGCGGTATTGGCTTAGGCATTGGTCCTAACTGACTATCCGGCTTCAGCCTGTTCGCTTGAAGTCTGGGATGGGTTAACCACCAGTAGGGGGAGCCCTGCTGATGCACATCAACTAGGAACTCCCCCGGGGTCACTGCTCGGGGGCGTGCCTTAAGCCCTCACCTCCCCAGGCTTCAGACAGGGCCTCGCCCCCTGGAATCCTTTATCGGACTACCCTTCAATATGCGAGGGAGGTGATGGCGCTTCCTTCCCCTCTCTACATAACAATACCAGAGCAGCTGGGAGCGGCAAAAGAGGGAGATCCCCGGCCATACCTGTGTTCAATAGAGCAGGCCATGCCTCCCGGGCCAGCCGATTGGCTGGCCAGGGGATGACGCGCCCAGGGATTCCCTCAATCGCGCGGAGGCTGAGAGCCAGCCGGTGGGAGTGTGAAGCCTGCAACCCCACCAGCTTTCTAACTCAGAAGTGGCTTTGCCAGTTGTGTGGGCTGGAGATAGAGTTTATGGAGGGGGGTCCCCGAAGGTGCTCACTGTGGCCTAATTTAGGGACTGCCCTTTTTGCAGAGACTTAAAAGCCAGTTGTTTAAGCAAGGGCCAGGACTCAGGAGCAGAGCATCCGCTTTGCAGGCAGAAGGTCTCAGATTCAACACCCAGCTTCTCCTGGTCGGGTTGGGAGAGACACCTGTCTGAAACCCTGGGCAGCCACCCTAGTCAGTGTAAACAATGTTGGGTGGACCAATGACGTCACTCACTATCAGGTAACTTCCTATGTTCTGATGCCCCTATGTTCCTTTGGTGATTATTATTATTTTTAATCATTCTTGTTTCCAGGATGGATCTTCAAGGGGATAATAGAAAGCATCCGAATAAATATAGAGAGATGCTTGTGTTTTCCTGCAATAGCAAAACTGAAATGGAAACTGTAGCTTTCATTTCTGTGAAATGGTTCCATATGCATATATCCTTACAGCAAGGACCAAGCAACATGTTACATCAAATATGTTTTTTAAGGTTACCAGATGTCCCCGTTTCCCTGGATTTACAAATCAGTACAATACAATATCCACTGAAGTTGAAAACTGTCCCCGGATTCATTGAAAAAAATCTGGTAACTTTATATTTAGATGCTTGACTTGAATGTTTTTAAAATCAAACTATCAGATGCAGGGGCTCCCAGATCATGATAGGGAGAATGGTGGGATGGAGGAGTTTA